CAACAACAACAACAACAACAACAACAACAACAACAACACCAGCAGCAGCAGCAACAACAACAACAACAACAGCAACAGCAACAGCAACAGCAACAGCAACAGCAACAGCAACAGCAACAACAGCAACAGCAGCAACAGCAACAGCACCAACAACAACAAACACAACAACAACAACAACAACAACAACAACAACAGCAGCAACAACAACAGCAACAGCAGCAACCTCCACCAGCACCAGCACCACCAGCACCACCACCGCCAGCAGCAGCAGCACCACCACCACCACCACCTATCCTGCTCCTCTTCCTGTTGCTCGTGCTGCTGCTGCTGCTGCTGCTGCTGCTGCCGCCACTGGTACCACTGCTACCATTGCTACCACTGCTACCGCGATTACGGCTACTACGACATACTACTATTTCATTAATATAATATGAGCAGTGTCATTTTTTATTACTACTGCTATTCCTGGGTAGCTAGGTGAATTGCACCTTGTCTTTTGGCTCAGCTGTATTTTTTTGCTTAGTCATTTTTTCCCTGACATGCTAGCTGGCGTAACATTTTGGTCATCATTTCTGATCCCGGCCTTCTTCCCTCCCCCCAACTCTCCCCACCCCATGGTACGGTCTCCTGACCGCCAGCCCAGACCTCTTAAAAGTGTGAACAGGCACGAGGATGATGGGTGCCCAGCTCATGCCTTTCGTAACTGTTCTTGTTTTTGAGGCTTTGGATGCGCCATTCTCGTAACTGTTGTCGTTTGCGACGTTGCAATTCCCAAAAGTGTCAACAGTGGCAAGGATGGTGGGTCTCCTTTTCACCAACAGCGAAAGCGTCACTGTCTTTTGATGTTTCAGTGTTTCAGATCTTAAGAGCGCCAACAGTAGCCGGGATGGAGTTCCATGGTGACAATCAATGACCAGAATACTGGCAATCCGTTGTTTTTGTTAGTTGTGTCTAACCTTGAAAAGTCTAAACCTTAAACTCTAGAAATCTTAGAAACCCTAAAAACACTAAACCCTGGAATGCCTGAACTCTAAAATCCCTAAAAAGCCTTAACATTCTAAACCCCAACGCCCCGAAAATGTTGTCAAAAAACACTAAACCCTAGAAATCCTGAACCCTAAAACCCCAAACCCTAGAAACACTGACCCCTAAGAACCCTAAACCCTAAAAAACCCAGACTTTGGAAACCCTAAAAACGCTATGAACCCTAAACCCTAAACCCCTCAACCCTAAAATCCCTACACCCTAGAAACACCAAACCCTGAAGACCCTAAACCATCCAAAAGGTCCAAGGTCTAAATACACTAAATCCGCCAAGTCCTCAGAACACGAACAGCCCCCCCTTCTCCCACCCAGATAGAACTAAACCCTAGAAACTCAAGCACGCCCTAAACACCTTGAACCCTAGACACCCTCAAAACACTGAACCCTAAAACCTAAACCCTAGAAACCCTAAACACTAAACCCTGCTAAAAACCCCAAAGTCAAAAACCCTAAGCACCTTAAACTCTAAAAACCTAAACCCTTAAAACCCCACGTATACCCTAAAAATCATAGAGCTCTAAACCCTACAAACTCTTAGCCCTACACTATACCCAAAAAACACCAAACTTAAATCCTAAACACCCGCAATTCTAAACACCTTGAAGCACCGTAGAAACCACCAAAAGATAATAACACCAAAAGCCTAGAACCTAGAAACCCTAAACCCTGAAAACACCAAATGCGCGTGTGACCTTGAGTGGTGTGCATTCTATGGCCAGCGAGGGAGAGGGCACTAAAAGCAAGGAGAATGCCCCGCGAGAGAGTACCATCGGAGAGGATGACACCTACCAACAAGGACTGGTGGGGCGATGGGAGCGCTTTGCTGCAGTTTAACAAGGTGATTTGGCGAAGTGGTGGTTGTGGACCATTTGAAGGCTCAGAATAACATAGGAGGAAACTTCGGTGCACATGGGTGGTCTTCCCAGGGGGCCTAAAGGAACGCGCCTGCCGAACTGGCTTTTGACCATCGCTGCGAGGTTAAAACAGGCGCTGCCAAAAAATCCAGAAAGCCACAAACTCCCAAAAAGGTCTTAGCACCCTGAATTCTAAAACTCCTCAAAGCCCTAGCAACCCAACAAACCTAAGAACTTGAAGCTGCACAATGCAGTCAAAGCTGCTGCAAGCTGTACCACCTGAAGTCCCGGACCGAGCTCACCTGAAGCCTGCACAGTGCCGCACCAGCTGCCAGCTGTAGCATCTGAAGTTATGGATCGAGCCCTAAACCCAATCCTTTCTGAATGTTGTAATTTGCAGCAATTGCAGCCTTGACAGGGCCAGCAATGCTGCAGTCGGTGGTATCTGCTCGCACGCACATATTTTATGCCTACTAGTTGTTTTGATCATCAACATCAGTTTTTAGTTGGTGCCCATCTAATGATCACTGTTTTGATATTGAGTCGCAGCATCTGCAGCATGCACAATGCCGCGAAAGCTGCAAATGGTGGCGCTTGAATTCAAGCATCGAGTCCAGAAACCAATCATTTCTGAATGCTGTAATTTGCAAAATTTATAGCGTCCACAGAACCAATGCGGTAGTTCATGGTATTTGCAGCATTGACGCCGGAAAAACAAGTTATAGGTAAACAGTAGTTTTGGTAGCCCTCCTGGTGAAGCGGCAAGGAAAAGTCACAAGTATGCAAGTATATAGCAAAACGTCCCAGTTAACTAAATTTCCCCTAAACGGCAAGAGTTACAAGTCAGCAAAGAAAGGATCACAACTAAGCGTGTTTCCAATACCACTACCATTACCACTACTACTACGACTACTACTGCTGCTACTACTATTACAACTACTACTACTACTACTACTACTACTACTACTACTATTACTACTACCACCACCACCACTACCACCACTACCACTGCCGCGATGGAAGCCGACGACTGGTATGCGATCCTTGTGACTGTTGGCATTCGCAAAACCAAAATCCGCAATCCGTGTGAACGCTGGCGTTTTTTAAAAATGGGAATGGTCGTGCTGCATGCAAACCCAAAGTCTTGTGTAGAAGGCGGGCGGGGAAGTGGCACATGAGTAAGAGCCCCAAGAGCAGAACTCGCGAAAGCCAACGCCATGGGTGCACTGGAGCGTAAAAGAGTGGATGCCCTCAAGATCCTGCCCGCTGAAAGTGCCTGCTAATCGTCCTGTATAAGCAAATGAAGCAGATTATGTGTGCAATGGGTTACAGGCACAGGCGTTACAGCTTGACTCCAAGCTCTGCACTTGCAAGGGCCTGAGTGCATGAAGGCTTCTTGAACCAGCTACTCCAGTTGCTGCCCAGGTCTGATTAGCGCCTGCTTCCACAACGGGGCACCCAAGCGGGCTCTCGAGGCACTTGAGGAGATGAAGTCTTGGCCCAATTGCGACGGTGCCTTGGCAGCAAGTCAGAGACCCGCATATTGTATGCATCCTGTAAATCGTTCTCAGCCTGAAAGGCCCGGATGCTGGAACTTACGAGCAGCTCATTGAACAGCTCGTGAAGGCCATCCTCAACTTGTGACTTTCAGCAGGAATCTGTCAACCGGATCAGCTCTTGCGGACGGAAGTCCCCAACGCTGGAGACCCCAGGTTTGTTTGAGAAAGCCTGGAATTCGTGGCAAAAGTGGGCCAGTCCAACTATTTCCACCATTTTTTCTCTGGAATTGGTGGAAAAGTTGGCCCAGCATTTCCACGATTTCTAAACAATCATAGGTTCGTTTTTTTTTCAAAACGTTGAGATTTTCATCTATTCTCTGAAATTCGTGGAAACGTTGGAACAAGTTGGCTGGGCCAACTTTTCCACTGGTGGAAAGAGTTGGCCTGGCCAACTTTTTCCACGAATTCCATGATTTCTCAGAAAAGCTTGGGGTCTCCAGCAGATTGATTGCAACTCGTCGAAATCTACGACAAAGTTGGCTAGGCCAGGTTTTTTCACTTTTTGTTCTATAGAATGTGGTGGCAAATGTTGGCCGGCCCAACTTTCCCTTTCTGCCGTGAACTTCAGTAGAGGAAAAGGTTAGCAATGACAGGGCTCACTTTTCCCTGCATTCCTTTCGCATATGCTTTTTGCACAGAGACCTCCAGATGAAAAGTTCAGAATTAACAATTTACACTGCTATTATCTTCCATGGATTCCGGGATTGCTTGCTCCTAATTCACGATACAGGTCCCGCAGATTCTCCGAACTGTTATGGGCAGCATGGAAACAGTTTGGGCCCACAAACAGTAATTTGCATGTTTCGCATGGACAAGCATACGTGAAATTCATTCTACTAAGATTTTCCATGACTTCCATCACTTCTCAGCTGTAGGATACAACTCTTCAATCAATCAATGTGGTTGTGCTGCCAGAACCATGAGTTTTGACGTGGTGTGTCTTGTGCACTGAGTTACCTTTCATCAAATAATACTGAAATTCTTTGATTGGTTGAAATGAAGTTCTTTGCATGACATCTGAAACTAAGTGGTTGTAATTTCACCATATGATTGACACCCTTGTTTTGTACTGTTTGTGACAGGTCCCATGCATTTGAAGCTAGATGAGGGAATCCAAGGCAACTTAACGTTAATTAGAGGTCTCCTCGAAAATTCTCAAGAAGCCGTAGGTTTTGTAAGCTCTCATTAGGCACGGTGGGTTGCAACAATTCAACTTACATGTCATTAGAAACACGGCTTCCATTTAATTCCTAGACATATTTGGGTTGTACCTTGGTCCATAACTGATTCTTATTTGCAGATTCCAAATACTTAGTGACATTTTTGCAGCAAGTGGTTGATCACTTAACCCCTGAATTTCTTCAATAGAAGAGATGGTTGTCATTATAGCCGAAACTTTTTTGGTCTTCACTGAAGTCTTCATTTCGAAGCCTCCTAATCAACAACAAGTACATGTATGTGGGTTTGGTTATTTTTGGGGGAGTGGTTTTGGGTAAGGGGAGCGATCAATCTGATATAAAAGCACACACTCACATATCACGGACATTGAACTGCAATCATCTGGTTCATACTGTTGAGATTACTTCATACCATCAACGGTATAAGTGCTATGTTGGCAAAGGTGCACTTGGACAGCCTTCGGGGTTGGTTCTTGGGGGGGCGGGGTGAGCATATATGTATATATATGTATATATACCCTACATACCATATATATCCTATATATCCTATATGACCCACATGAATCGCTGAGCAGCAGGATGAGCTGAGAATGAGCTGGCAGGGATTAGGGTTCAGGGATTTAGGGTTATTATAGGGATAAGAGAAAGTAGAAGGGAAGCTACTATGTTATAGGGCGCAGGGATTAGGAGTTCCACGTTGTTTGCCCTCTTGTGCAGGCGCGGCTTGTCCCGGAGGCCGCTGTGGTAGCGAAGGAAGCTGTGGCATTGGCATGTGGCCCGCGCTGGAGCATCAAACCGTGGCTCCGCCTGCAATGCGCAACTGCATTCATGCCTAAATTTCAGGGCACTGGTGAAGAATTGGATGCAGTCAGTATTGGAGGTCATATATTAGGCACTCCAGCAGTCCACGTGTTTCTCAGAAACTAGCCAGCCGAGGCTGAATACCACTGTGCGAGAGCCTGAGTGCTCTTAGCAGTTGACCTCCCTCTGATGCTGGTTGCAAATTGCTTGCTGCATGGATTAAGCTCGAGGCTGCGGGTTTTGCAGCGCGGCCTGGAGCAGAGCGGGAATGCAAAGCTTTGGAGCTCATTGAAGGACAGGCAGAGAAATTCTAGGGTAAGTCTGAGACCTCTTGAAAAGCCTCTTGAAATGAGCAGAGTTGTCCGAACGGTTCAGTGAGGATCAGCTGCAAAGGGCCCGGCTGCCCACTCCATGAAATGAAGGTAGAAAGACGTCATGTGGTGGCCTGACCAAGTGAAGCCATATGCTGACCTCAAAGAGGTCATGCTCATATGCCTGGACGGTGGTTGATTGCACCATCACTTCAGGTGCACTGGTCTCATCTGACCACGATGTCCAAAACAATCCTGCAGGTATAGGTGTCACAGGTCCACACAATGAGACGTTGATTGCTAGCACCAGCAGCGTCTAGCTTGTTTCTCGATCTCTCAAAGCTGCAGCTAGCTATTCCCAGAATTGCCATGGTTGTTATAAAGTTATAGACGGACTAAAGGACATTGTAGAAATGAAGCAGACTTCACCAGCACAAGCTCAGTGATCTTACAGCTTCTGTGTCGTTCGTCGGGGAGCTCCGGTAGATCTGCTTGGGCAACATGCTCTCCGAGGAGAGCTACCCCAGTGCCGGCTGCTGAGACAAATGCACCCAGGCTCAACTGGGTTGCTGTTAAGGAACTTAAACTGACCAGTTTCAGTTTATGGGTATACAGTAAATGATCCGGTTTCCATTTTAAGTTCCCTAGCAGCAGCCCAGTCAAATCTCTGGTTGCTCCCCAGTAAGCTTGCCAAGGCTAGCCAGTGCTCCAGCCCATTGCCACCAGGAGCCTGTTCAATCTAATTCCGTGTGAGGCCTTTGCATTGTGCCTAAACAGGACAGGATGACAAGGAAAGGCCAACAAAACGGCCAAGGCAGGATCCTAACCCACCCTTGTAGTACCTGGTAGTACCTTCTAGTACCTTGTAGCACCTTGTAGCCTCCAGGCACTGAGCCCAATCAAGAGTGGATTCGCCGGTAGGTTGGCAGATGCAGTCACTGCTGCGGATGCGGGAAGTGGAGAGTGGGCACAGGTGGGTGTTGCAAGTCTTGCGACGGCATGTCCTAGACTGCCACGTCCGGCTGTTTGTGAGCTCCTGGCAGGTGATATCAGCAGTGAAGACTGCCATTGTTGCGCTGAAGGCCTTAAAATAAACCACCACCCCCTGCCTGGCTTTGCATGGCTTGCAGGTTACATTTGTTGTGAGCTTCGAAGATGAGCAAGCTGCTGTAGCGATGGGAACCGGCTTTGTGGTTGACAAGCACCGAGGATTTATCCTGACAAACAGACACATAACTGGTGTGGGGCCAGTTCGCGCAATAGCCATGTTTGACCGTCACGAGGAGCTGGATGCTGAGGTGGTTTACCGGGATCCAATCCACGACTTCGGATTTTTCCGATACGATCCGTCAAAGCTGCGCTTCACTGAGCCTGCCGAGATCAACCTGGCTCCCGAAGATCTGCGGGTGGGAACAGAGGTGCGAGTGGTGGGGAACGATGCGGGTGAGAAGCTGCAAATCCTTTCTGGAACCATTGCCCGCGTGGACCGAAACGTTCCAGAGTTCAATACGGTGTACAACGATGAAAACACTTTCTATGCAGGGGCGGGTGCTGGAACCAGTGGTGGCTCTAGTGGCTCACCGGTGCTCAACAAATCTGGCCATGCAATCGCTCTAAACGCGGCTGGCACAGAGGGCGCGGCAAGCGCCTTTTTCTTGCCACTTAGTAGGGTATGCCTTGCTCTGAAGCGTTTGCAATGCGGTTTGCCAGTAATGCGTGGCACTTGCCAGGCTGCATTTCTTTTCAGAGCCTTCGATGAACTTAGAAGGATAGGGCTCCAGGAGGCGCACGAGCAGGCGGTGCGATCCGAAGCCAGTGAGGCCACTGGCATGCTAGTTGTAGACGCTGTGCTTTGTGAGCAGCAGCAATTACGACCTGGTGACATCCTGCTGCGGATGGAGAACACAATCTGTGTTGACTTCGTTCGTCTGGAAGAGATTTTGGATGAGAAGGTCAACAGTGACATTCATGTACTTGTTTGTCGAGGCTGCAAAGGACATGTAGCAAAAGGATACATGCGTGCATTTTGAAGAAGCTTCATCCTTGCCTGATGATGTTTGCTCACCATAACACCCCAAACCCTGAACTCCAAAAGACATGGGCCATAAGCACGTCGAGAAGGCGTGCCTTAGGTTATGTAGGGAGAATTATCTAGGACCCCACAAAGTGAGAACTCAGTGGAACATGAAATGGAAGGCACTATTGCGTTTAGGTGGAAAAGCAGGGGACCCCAACAATGCAGGACCAAAGGGACAAGAACATGGCAAATGGCATGGACACGGGTTTATAGCATGGATTTGAAAAGTCGCGCTGCATCCCTGCGAGGCGGCGAGGAGATAGCCATGACCTTGCCTGTGCACGACCTTCATTCACTGATTCCCAGGACTTACATGGAGCTTGGCCTGGATGCTGTTAAGCTTTTAATTCCTATAGGCCATGCAATATCCCCAGTTTTCCCCCTTAGGACTTACGTGGAGCTTGGCCTAGATGTTGTTCATGGCCTTGGCTATCATGCAGCACGGCGCGCGCACCTTCCACTCAACAGCGGCATCTACCTGGCTCGTACAGGATACGTTTTCGAATCGCTTGGATGCGAGTGGGGATCCTTGATCACGTCTGTACTTGGGCCAGCACAAGAAGTGTTTTTCACTTTGGCATTGGTAGTGTCGGGTACGCATGACACTCAGAACTACTATGCGACCTGAACTCGACGAAATGGTCAGCCAAAGCTGGAGTCATCCAACTGCTGAAAAATGCCCTAGCAACACCAAGTCACGAAAATGGAGAGTTGTTTTTTGTTCATCTCAAGTGGATGACCACTTGGCCATGGCTGGATATGTGCCTCACCAAGTGACCGAGGGCCGCAGTCCGCGAATGTTTGCACTCACCAATGTCGAGAAATTGGAAGTTGCAGTTAGTCGAAGGTCTATTTATATGGGATTTCGGATGCAATTTCTCCATAGTCGCAGGGTTTGCATGGTCCAGGAGTCTGAGGGACCTTGGTCTCTAAAGGCTTGCGGCCGTTCAGGGATAGAAACGAGTAACGAGCCTTTGATGTTTTCACTAGGTGCTTGGCAAGGCGTTGCTGTGCGTGGGTGTATGTCAGGCACGAAGAGCGCAGACCAGTCTGCGTTCTTAAGCTTGGCTGTGCAGGAGCAACGTAGTGGTCCGCTTCGGCTAGCCGCCTACAGTTATCTAAAGTTACTAGTAACTAGTAAAAGGGTGATTACATGTTGGGTGCTGTCGAGGGCAAGGGCTGCAGCCGATCCTAAAATGTGTGATTCTTTGACGCTGCAGTTGGATGAGGTAAACGGCAAGCCTACGCCGTCACCAGAAGCCTTTGTGAAAGCAATTGAGCACATTCCGGACAAGCAGTATTTCCCAGTGCAGTGGTATGAGCTACAAAGCTTTCGCAGCCCGGCTTTCACCCAAGCCTCTGTTCTGCACAGACTCTTGGTGGATTCCACACCTCGTTCTACAGAGTTCCTGCATGTTCGAAATTGGGGCTTTTGGTTACGACCAGAAAGCAGAGGTCCTTCACATTTGGGGTGCCTTGAATCTGGGTTCCAATTAGCAGGAAGCTCATGTTTGGACATAAAGCCAGTGCTGCTGTCATGAGCTTCCAAATTTGTTTGGTCTCCGGCTCTCCCAAAAGGCAGAGACCGGACCCTCAAAACGGGCTTTGCCAAGATGTCTCGAGCCTGGTCGCCGCTGCTCGGCTTCTCTGGCGTTATCAGATTAGTTCACTTCTCAATCTGAGTGCTCTGGCGACGAGGCTCAAACTGTGGCAGTGCAGCTCTCCTGCATCATCTGCGACCCCTGAAAAGTGGACTTCCCAGGAGTGCTACACCTTGCGAGTCTGCAGATGTGCAGATCGCGCACTTTGTCAGGAGATGCCGGTGCCCTCGAGACCACCACGGCGGCCAGAGCCCCCGGGCCGGGCCGCCATGCTGACGGGCGGGGACCGCCTTGTGCGCGCATTGCAGACCTCGCTGGTGGGGACCGTACTGAGACAAGTCCCAAGTCAGCGCTGTGCGGTGTCAGATGTGTCAGGTAACAGTGCGTTTCCGTACAGACCCGCGCTTCTGCACAGAGGCCAGATGCTGACATTCAGGCACATTCTTGAAGTTTCCTTGCTGTGCAGGCACTTGAAAGTGGTTCTGCCGAGGGTGTGGGCTTGCTGGTGCCTCCTGGCTATGCTGCAAATGCTGATAAAACATCGTGCGCCCGGATTAGGTGGATGCCAAGAGGGGTATCGTCCTCACAGATCGACACAGTGCGCCTCAGTCCTTGGGTGCCATTGAGGTAGGGAAGTTACAAGTGCCTTTGAAACAGTTTTCTTGAAACACTTTTCTCAACAGAAGTCTGGGAGGTGACGCTGGCTGGTTGTGCAACTGTTGATGCCGAGGCAAGCCCCTCATAGAAAATTAAAAGGTATTGCTTACAAAATGCGGTTGTGCGAAGAGTCTCAGTTCTGATTTAGCTCCAACCCGACCGCAGAACTTTCCTGGAGTCATGATTTTAACCAAAGCTCGGAATGTGTTCATGCCAGAGAACGTGTGGTGACCATTCGCTGATTCTGCCACCCACCACCAGGCCCAGCTAAATGTGGAGGTTCGCCATCCCTCAATGCGGGCTCAATGTTGGCAGCGCGGGCAGCCATGCAAGAACCATCAATTCTGTTGGGTCGCCAGTTACACAAGCACTGAAACATTCAAGCAATTCGCCAAACTCCCACACCTAAAGCTCTGCATGAAGCCCAGTGACATCTCACATGGCGGGCATCGTCAAGAGTCAAGATAGAAGCGGAGAGACCTGAGTAGCACGGGGTGGGGCGATCTTGGTTTATCGGCTGCCTGGCCACGATCTCCCACGGGCTGGAGGGCTTGCCTATGCGCACATCTACTCATGCAATGTGCTGCAAACCACAAGCGACCATGGGTGCCGCAGGTTTTCTTTATCCATCCGCAGCACAACATTGCGCAGCCCTTATCAGAGTTGCGTGTTCCCATTTGAGACAAACTAGGTATATGAAGGGGACCTCTGGGTGCAGAAAAGCACAGCTCAGGAGCCTTCTTCTTACCCTAAAATGTTAATTATACTATAATATATTCATGATATACCGTAATATGATATAACACAGTACAATATCATAGAAATATACCTAAAGCCGTGTGCCCTGAGGCATTGCTTCGATGCGACCCCATTGCTGTTGAAATGCTCATCAAGGGGAAGCTGCCACTGAAATCCGCGAGGCTTGGTGCACTTCAGAAAATTGAAGAATATCCTGTACTATAATATACCGTAACATATTACAATATGCTATAACATACCATAATATACTATGATATACCAGAATATCACTAAATTGTTGAGTCAGTTTTGATCACCAAATAGTAGAAGCCGTGGATAGGAAAGGAAAGCTGCTTTAGTAGGCAGACCTACCTCTCAGTTTCAGAAGATGCAGAACACTGGATAGAGAATCAAAGTATACTGCGACAAGCCACGATAGCTGGCCCCTTGCCCGATGGTTGCGCAAAGTGGCTTCCATGGCCCAGACGTGGCTAGAACAGGTAAGGTCCTCGACAGCTTTGACACCCTCACCTTTTGGAGCGTTTCTGTTCTATCATTACGAGTATTGCAATGATTATTATTACTATTCTTGTTACTATTATTATTATTATCACTACTATAGCGATTCTTGTTACATCTTTTCACTCGAGGCTCTTTCCTGCACCCTGATTTCCCCCGACTTGCGCGTGTATTTTGCAATTGCTACATATGATGTCGTAGCTTGCCTCTGCCTCGCAAAATCAGTTGATGGACTGGTAGGCGCCAATATTAGACTAGTTGGTATGGGCTGGAAGCCTTCACACAACCAAGCAACTTGAAGAGGTTTGCAAAGGGCAAGAAAGCGTGTTTACGGCCTGGTGAGAGCGTGCACTTTGTTGGCTTTGACAGCCAGGCAGGGCTGCCCAAGAGATCCACGTGCAACAACGTTGCTTCTCATAGTCAGGGAAACACCTTCAGCGATCAGTGCAAGGCTTGGCTTAGCTTTTCTGAAGAGCAGAATGCCCTTTGCTTTGTAGTGAGCCAGGTGTCTGCAGTGTATTTGCCCAGCGGCAAGGATGAGCCACGTCCTTGCACAATGGCTTCTTTAGTTCCTCTATCTTTACTTTTGTGGACGGGGTGACTGCAGGTTCCCGCCATGGACCGTACCACGATTTCGCGAACGCAATCTCGAGGTGCTCAGAACGAATGCAGTTTTTGCGATGCATTTTCGCCTTGTCATGGCACCAGCGTAGCAGACAGATGCTCCTCACCGTGCACCACTTTTTGTCACTAGGCATGACCCGCCAACCCATGAGACATGTGATGCACAAAGAGGCATTCTAACAATCCTCGTCAGTCAGCTGTTCATAGCTCATGGAGAGCGCCATTATATGCCATTACGACAGGCCACAAGATGGGATGGTGCAATCACATTTCGTGAGTTTAGACTCAGCACCAAATGCTGCATGATCACGTCTGTTTGGCTCAAGATTGGATGCCGTAGCACGCATGGAGCCTGCAGATGCTATCCAATACATGTGTTCAAGTTACAGTGCTTTGGAAGCAGAAAGTTTGTGAAGTATCTCCTTGGTAGGATGCGTTGAGCGCCACGGTCTTGCTGTGCAGTTCAGGTATACTATGCAACAAGTGGAAGTGAGATTGCTACTTTTGAGCTGGAACCGACACAGACCGCACAGGCTCGCAGGCTGCATTTGTCCTTAGTCTGCAAGACCTTTGGATGGAGCCCTTGAAAGGACATTCAGCAGGAGATCTTCAGAATAACGGGGGCTCCCGCGTACAGACAGCGCCTTCTTTGCGAGAGCGAAGTCTTAGATCCGCGGCGTCGACTACAGGTGCCTGTTGTTGCAGATATCCGCCGCTGTTGGCTTCATTGCATTTTCAAGTAGAGTTTCAGAATTCTAGAAAGGCATGCATTTTGTGACTGGTGATCATCGACCCTGAAGGATTTGGGTTTTGCCAGAGAGTTGAATCTGAACCTCATTGTGCAAGATCTATCTTGGGTTGCCACGACTTCTGTGGATGGCGGCGTGAAGGTGTGGAATGCTGAGACTGGAGAGTGTATCCACTCGGTGGGGCCTGGCCAGTCTGGCGTCAGGTTGGGAAGACATAAGAATGACAATAATAGATAATAATGATAAGCCTATTAGTATTGATAAGGAAGTGCCTAAACCCCAAACCCTTTCTATAGGAAGGACTGGGAAGTAGTTGCTGTCAGTTCCAGTTGTTGAATGCCTACTGCATACTGATGCAGCACAGTCAGCAGAATTACTAGTAGCAGATTACAGCTCCGTGACCTGAAGGTATGCCATGTTTGCAACTGATGGCTGCACGCTGCTGACAGCTTCACGAGACTGCACAGCACGCATTTGGAACGTCCTGACGGGAGAGCCCGTCACTTGTCTCCAAATCTGGCCCTGGATAGACTCTGAAAGCCTCAAATTGAAATCCCATTGCCTGAGCTCTAAATGTCAGTGAACTAAACCCGAAACGGTGTCGTTGGAGGATGCTGAAAGGCCTGTTTCTTGTGGAAGACACCCTTCAGCTGATTCATAGACTGAGCTACACTGAATATCCGTGAGTCTTTTACAGACAGTGTTGATGGGGTTTGTTCAGCAACTGTGCAGTGCATGTCAGCCGCAGGTTGAGATCTTTAAGGGGCACACTAACGCTGTCTATACGGCCGTTTTCTCCCACGATGGATTTCTGGTGCTGACAGCCTCATATGCCTCTTGTCTCTAGACTCTAGACGTCTTGGCCAGCATACAGGGCCCAGGGCGACCCTGAAGAGTTTGCCCGCAAACTCAGGATTGCACAGCTCGCTTGTGGAGCGTCCTTACTGGCGAGTGCTTGAAGATCTTTGCAGGCGGGGGAAATTGTTTTTCACCCAGTTGTTTACAACAATAATTTTTCAATTGTTTAAGACCTTTACAGGTCATACTGACGGCGTGGTGAGCGCCATCTTTGCCACAGATGGCGAGCACATCCTCACTGCCTCGGTTGACCGGGCAGCCAAGGCAAAGGAGATGCAGCAAACTGCCTTGCTTGGGGGTTTCCCGAAAGAATTAGGGGTACCATTTTGGGGCTCCCTCTTCTTCACGGATGATTATAGTATATTGGGGGCTGTGCGGATGCAAGATGTGGTGCGGATGTCGCCAGATGTGGGATATTCAGACGGCCGAGTGTGTGAAGACCCTGCAGCGGCCAAGAGGCAAGGCGCCACAAGTCCTGCGGGTAGTTCCCAAAATATGGGTCCTATTATTTGGGTACCCTTAAATATAAGGTGCCGTAATAGAATCTATTACCAAAGGGGGCCCATAATTTTGAGAACAACCCCTGTGTAGCTCTTGGAGTGGTTCCATGCCATTGTCATGGTACCCTATTCTTGGACCTGGAAAATCCCTCTGCACATAGTATTATAATATAGTATATTATCCCTCTGCACATATCATATTATAGCATATTATAGTATATTATCGTCTATTATCTTAGATTACAGTATATTATAGTATATTATAGTACATTGTAGTATATACCTCAAGTCTTTGACCAGGTGAGGTGGTCGTGGCCGTCCTCAGCACTGAGAAGCGCAATGCAGCGCTGACAACTGCGCAAGATGGCACTGCCAAGCTCTGGACGCCCTGCTGCTTCGTTGGTGTTCAAAGACTCGAGGTATATACTATAATGCATTATAAGATTCTATAATATTATAATTTACTATAATATACTATAATATACTATAATGTACTATAATGTACTATAATAGATCATAATATACTATAAAAAATACAATATACTATAGCATGTTGTTGTTCCAATCCAACTCGGAAGAGCCGGGATGCACTCCGGTCCCAGGAATATTGTCACGGAAGAGTGCATTTTCACCTTGAAGGGCCACCGGACCTACATCACATCAGCAACAGGGCTATAAGATTCAGAGCTACCTCATCGTACATGCTTTGTTCCATGATCTCCATGTAAGGCAGTGTTGTCCGAAGACGGTATTACGCTGCTGACTGGCTCATGGGATCGATCTGCGAAGATGTGGAATCTCCAAGCAGCCAAGAAGACAGACTGGGGATGCGGGATGCAAAGAGTAATTAGGAATAGTAAAAGCAATAACAGTAATGATAGTAATAATAGCAAATAATAGTAGTCATAGTAACAAGGGTCTCCAGATGCCTTTTGAGCCATGAGCTTTGCCCATGTCGGAGTTGTAGTGGTTGGGGAGCTCCGATCTGCCGGTCGTAGCAGCTTTTTAATGGAATGCTGTCAGAAAGCGAGAGATTGAAATGGGGTTTCCCAAAATTAGCCGTTCTTTTTTGGAGGTCCCCAAAGATAGTATTTTGGGGTCTATATTTGGGATCCCCTATTTAGGGAAGCTACCAAATGTCAAGCTCCAGCAGAAGGGAGGACAGAAGCGATTCTGGACAGACATGAACTGTAGTCTCAATTCCTTACAGGGGGGATATATAGGGGATTCTATAGGGGACTATTATACGGCTTATACTAGGAGTTTAGACAATTGCTCACATGATTTCGGTCAAGCAGATGTGACTGAGCTTTGAGACAACTCATGACACTGCCAGATGATCGTCAGAGGCATGCGTTTGCACAAAACTCTGCTTACAGAATGCCCAATTGCAGGAAGTGCATTCGCACCTTCATGGGGCACAGCGCCTTGGATTCCTAGAAAGCTGCTCTTGAGGGTTCTTGAGAAGGACGTCTCTTACTGATTTTGAGATGTTCACTATGCTGAGCACTGAGGCAATGGGGTAGTATCTGCAGAGTTCTCAGCAGATAAGACCTATATCGTCACAGCGGCATCCGACGGTACCGCTCGGATATGGAACGCCAACACTGCAGATCCTTGACCGCATGCCTTAGACTTGCTTGCACCTGTGATTGTCCTTTTTTTTCTGAATGATGATGACGGCGACGACGGCGATGAGGGAGGAGGCGGAGGCGGCGGAGGAGGAGGACGACGTTGACGATGATGATGCTTATGATGATGCAACCATGCTCAAGTGGTACCGTCATGAGTTTCACCTTTGGTTTCGGCGGCTGTGTAAGAAGCCCATACCTGGAGGCCAGCATGCTTGTCTCGGCAATGAGGGATAGTGTTGTCTGCAGTAGAAAAAAATTCAGGAGAAGGCCAATGGGACAAACACAGATGTAATGGCAGCCATAATCGCAGCACTTAGTAACATAGAAGTAGCGGTAGCCTCGGCAAGCTTAGCAGCTCCTTTTGGGTGGCAGTTGCAGCATTGAATGACATTTGTGGAGCCTGCAGCTTGTGCGCGATGATCTCATTGCCAGGAATGCATCCGCGCGCTGAAAGGCCATGGTGCCGTTGTGAACCATGCTGTCTTTTCACCCAAATAAGTAAGTACTCTCTCAGGAAAACAGGCATAGAGCGTACCTTTTTAGCTCTTCAGTCCAGCGAGGCTGCAGCGCCATAGATTCTCATCCATCTGGTTGTAGAGCCATCTAGGAATGACCTGTCCCGTCAGTTTCACCCTGCCGAAAAGGCTATCTACAATAATACTCAAGAAATAGAGCGTGACTGGCCACACATGCCCATTCTCAGAACTGCTGCATTGCGAGACAGGCGACGACAAGAGAGCGTAGCACAATTCTTGCAAACATAGCGCAATTTGCTGGGAGGTGCACTTTTCTCGAATCTTGCAATGCAGAGTCTTGGGGTCTCATGCTCTTTTTCCATCAGCCGAAGGCAAATCTTAGGCAACGCGCGTTGCAAAAGGCCTTGTCAGCAGAGTGAAAGAGAAGTACTATGTCCAAATGCGGCACAATTGCAGCTTCGCACTGTTGAGTGGAATAGGATGGTACCTGCACAGATTGGGTAACACACGCGCTACGGGACGTTCATCAAACTCCCCCATATACACATTCTCGCCCATCTTTTGTGTTGGTTTTGGGTGGCGCAGATTGTGGTGTTGACGGACACCCCTGAAGATGCCCGGGGTGGAGTTCTTTGCGACTCCCGCCGCTGCCTTGATTCCAACAGGGCCACAAAATACTAGCAAAATGATCGACAGGGTTGCATCTAGGGTTTGGGGTTGAGGAGGCTGAAAGGTTCAGACAGCAAGAGGATGCCGTGGCCAGAAGAAGGAAGGATATAAGAAGTGGCGCCAGTTAGATCTTTACAGGGATGGAATTGTGAAAAATGACAGAATCCTGCTTAAAGGCTCTTGGTTGTAGAGGATTTATGGGGGTTAAATAGGTTGTAGGGTTTCGGGGTTAGACAGAGCTATAGAGGGGTCTAAGTGCGCTTGTAAGATGATGATAGCGGGGCACTCCTCATAACAGCTCAGCAGCCCCTATTCGCCGAAAGGATCCCTAACGATGCAGGTACAATCATACTCGGTTAGTAGCAACGGTTGAACCGTCAATACGACTCGAACCCTTATCTTCATGAAGGACGCCTCGCCCATCGGGTCTTGACTACATAAATTTCGGCTCGAGCGATTTGAAGTTTCCATTTGACTTCCATATTCTTGTCCATTCATTTGCCATTATTGCGGTAATATCTTTAAACACTAAGCCATATAATTCCCATACATAAACCCTACACCCTACACCCTAAGAGGCCTTAACAGGAAGGTTTAGCCGGAATGGTTTGTATCCAGGTGGAGAAGTGCGGGCAATCTTCGCGTCGTTCGATTTCCAGAGTGCGAGGAGGGAGGCCTGAGGAAATCGTGTTCATCATCTGAGCTACAACTAGTCTAAACTCCATATAGAGGGGTTATATAGGGATTATATATACGGGACTATTGCAGGGCTTGGGCTCGGGGGATATTGGGAGTTTAGACTATGAGCTCAAATGCTGCAGACGTCATGCCTTGACCCCATGTCACACACATCTACACATGAGACTACCGATAGACTCCGATAGATGACCAACTGATGCTCCGGCACAGTGTCTGCCAGGTGACCGAAAGCTTGCATGGCGAGTACACCTCTTTGGATTGCGAGTGTGGAAGACTCGGCAGGAGACGACGGAGAACTTCGGGATTCCAGCCAACGTGTTTCTGCCTTTGCTTGAGGCCGCTGCCTTGTGGCTCAAACGTTTCGGCTATAGGCAATGGTAGCTTTGCATGTTGCATTGCTGCTGCACGCAGGCCATCAAGACAAGCCCCGACCAGCAACCGGAGGCCATCTTGGACTGTTGTTGATAAATCTGCACTTTGCGTTCCCTTGGCATTGAGCATCCATGAGCTTGGTCTTCCGCGGCCCTTTTTCCCAAGCGGGCCCCTTGAGCAGATCCTTCTTGCGAACGCATGGAAAAGACTTCGCTGCTGATTCTTTCTGCTGTGCATTCACGCTTTTGAGCATCGCGAGTGTTTGCATAAGTTGGCACTGGAGCCTGCTGGAAGGAGTCTTGTGATGCCCCTGGTTCCGCAGATCTTTCACATGGCCAGCGGGACCGAGCAGGCCGCTGGCAATGAGGCAGATGACTGGCTTGGAGCAGAGATGGCGTCACAGACCCCGAGTGCGATCCCAGGGCATGGCGAAGAAGATGCTGCGCATAACTCCTCGAGACGTGCTGCGGTTGTCTGGCGCTGCGCGATGGCCCCGACCTTCAGAGGCTGACTTCTGGTGATTGGGTGTGTTCGGGATGCGGAAGCCGGGACTATTATAGAGTGAGTGAGCAGATTTGGAGGCACACTGGGCATGGAACATGGATGTACTTCCCTCAGGGACAGGAACCACTTCCGCCCTGGACTCGTGCTTCCGAGGACGCTGAACCGATGGCTTCCCCTGGACAACCTTCGACTGCGCCCCCTTCACGGGAGCAGGCGCTGGGCGCTGCAAGCGCATCCCGTCGCCGAAGGCGACGCCGACACGGAAACAGACCAGACCCCGATGGAGGCTGGAGCGAGCAGGCAGAGTCTGAAACCCTGACGCATGACAGCACTGTCACTGTGAGTTCCCGTCCTCGAGGGCCCCTACCTGATCCTCGACCTCCTGGCCTTGATCCTCCCGAACCTGCTCGACCAGCTGTTCCAGAAGTACCTCCTGGTGACCTTGAAGGAGCCGATCATGGACTACCTGCCGGGCAACATGGCTTCTTGGACCAAAGCCTGGCGACAGACAAGAAGAAGCGGAGCACGGGCTCGACAACTCCTTCATGGAACAGCCGGATGGGGCCAGAACGTGGTGTCAAGTGGCCTGGTGGAGCGCCGCCTGCGCCACCAAAATGGTCCCATGAGAAGGAGGATCTGCGTGCTTTTGCGAAGTACGAGCGGAAGGTCAGGTTGTGGGAAATCCAGGTGGAGCCGTATATGAGTAAGAGGGAGGCAAGCTTGCAGTTGTACACTCAGCGGTGAACCAGAGCAGGAGTTGGAACATGCACCTCTTGAGAGAATAAATAGCTCCCAAGGAATCAACTATATCCTTGAGCAGCTGCGTGGCCCCATGTCCCAGCACCTCGTTTATCAGAAGCGCAGATTCTTATCGGACTTCGAGAACATCAATAGGTTTCCGTTTGGCCTGGTGATCAACTGGCCATCCTTGCTCATCACTGGCGGTGCTGGCTTGAAGTCGGGGAACTGCATGACCAAGGACTCGGAGATGTCTTCGAAAACCATGGAGTATCGAGCACCCACTAAGACAAGTCTTTGATCCTGAGGACTCAGCCGAGCTCTATCCAGGAGTCTGCTCCCTCTGGCGTCGCCATCATACATGGCAGTCACATTGATGTCCACGGCCTGCAAATTGCGTTCGGTCCTCCGATATCTGTTGACAGTCCAATGACCGTGCTTCACCACAGCAGGGAGCCTCCGGACATCAGGGCGGCAAGGGCGGCGGCAAGTTCGGACCTCGGAAGGTTTTCGTTGCAGAGGCCGCCGAGCACGCGGAGAACACCATCCAGGATGATGAGGCCGCTTCTGTCGAGCAGGCCGAGGAGCAGCTCGACGAAGACGAGCAGAACCATGACGAGCAAGCCGACGACGGCGATGATGGCGCTGACGGCGGGGACTTGGACGACTTGATTCAGGTCTTGACTGTCACTGCCCGACGCCTTGCCTCTGTCAAGTTGGGACGCAAGTACTCAGGGAACAAGACTTCACCTGCTGAGCTTAAAAAGACCACTACATGTGCTGCTTGCGGGGAAGTTGGGCACTGGCGGGGCGATGATGTTTGTAAAGTTTCTGGGAAAGGTGCTTCTTCGGCGACTTCATCATCACAGCCCTCAGCTTCTGCACGCAAGACCCACTTCAAGGAGATGCCTGCGCCCAAGAGCAAGCCCCATCAGACCTTCACCGTTATGCATAGCGACCTGGGCAGCTATGAGCTTCACTCAGGCTATGGCACCGCCTTCGAGGACCCCAATGCCTACCAGATCAACGTGGTGTTCAATACCCAGGAGGTCCCCTTCAGTAAGAGCTTTGTTGGGTATATGGTTTTGGACACGGCATGTCAACGAACCTGTTGCGGAAGGACCTGGGCCTACAACCACGGCAAGCTCATCGCGGAGTCCGGCCTTCAGCCCATCAAGGCAGAGCGTAGGGACACTTTTCAGTTCGGCAAGGGTGACCCGATTGTGGCCGATTGTCGCATGTACATGCCCGCTGCGCTTGAGAATGGCAATGTCTTCTACGTGGGTGCAGGCGTTCTCGATGCCGAAGTGCCACTGCTGGCCAGCAATCCATTCCTCAAGGCGCTTGGCATGGTACTAGATCTGAACCGCATGGTTGTGCACTTTGAACGGTTGTCGGCACATGTTCCTGTTCTTAATCTAGGAGGTCACGTTGCAGTCAACATTGCTTGCTTGGATTCCCAGACGGCAGCACGCCTCAGCGAGCTTGAGCATGTTGTTGATTGGCAGCGACCGGCTCCCGAGCTTCTGATTGAGCAGCTTGATTCCCTGCCTGAAGGAGATGCATGCCACACCCCCGCAATGGCTGCAACGGTGGAGGTTCATCATGATATCGCTGATCCGCTTCAAGCAGGGCCTCTACCGCACGATGTGCCGAGCAGTTCGTCTTCGCATGTGGGACTGGGAATGGATGATCATCGCAACTCCTCCTCACCTGGCCTTCGAGACCAACCCGGACCACTGCGACCACAACGACATCTACCGCTACGGCAACGCCAGGCAGGTTCGCAAGGTGCCGCAAGTGCCAGACAAGATGGAAGTGGAGGGCAGACGATCAAAAATGGGTGCTTCCCTTGCAACGCATCTTCGCGCTCATCGGCACTGCCGTTGCCCTCCTCGGACAATACGGCACCAGCGGCGCCACCAACTCCGAAGAGTTCGCTGCGGGCGGCCGCTCCCAAGACGAGACCCTCTTCGGCGGCGCGACCTTCCCGGAGTACCGCCTCGACGACTACGACGATGGCACCGTCGGGACGCAGATCGAGAGTGAGAGCCACGCAGGAGGACGACATCCAGGCGTGCAGGGACCTGCTGGAGCCGCCACCGGACGAGGAGACGGAGTACGACTGGGGAAGTTGAAGGGTGCCAAGCGGCTGCTTGGCAACATCGGGCGGTCTGCCCGAATCCTGGAGAAGGAGGTCGATGTCTACCATGCACTGCCCACAGCTTTGTCTCGGCCCCCTGGTAGCGTCGACTTGCTTGAGCTGTTCGCAGGTGAAGCCAGACCTTCGTCAGCGGCACACCGCCACGGGCTCCACGCATGCCAACCCATTGACCTTGCCTACGGCTGGGACCTTGATAAGAAGGAGGTGCAAGACTAAATCCGTGCAATGATGAGGCGGACCCGACCTTGGTTGATTTTGATCGGCTACCCCTGCACTCACTACTGCCTCTTCAACGAGAACCTCAACTACTCTCATCGACTACCCGAGCTTGAGCACATCCGTGACTTGGATCAACCGCGCCGCAAGTTCGTCGCTGAGCTTTGTCAGGACCAGGCCGATGCTGGCAGGTGTTTCCTCATTGAGAATCCCCAAAGGTCACGGTTGTGGTCTCAGACCGAGTTCGTTCGAGTTGCTGAGTTGCCCGGTACCAGCATGGCAAGTGCACACCTTATGGCGCAGAGACCGTGGAAGGGGAGCCCGTGGTCAAGTCCATTAATCTCCTTTCAAATCTTCCTGGACTATGCCATCGGCTCTCTCGCAAGCTCTCGGCTTCTGACCTTCAGTACTGCACGCCCATCCAAGGTTCCGAGACCAAGCGCTCACAGGTCTACCCGCACGCGTTCGTCTACGAGATCCTTCGCCACCTGCGCGACTTTGTTGCTGAGAAGGAGCCCCTCAGGTTTGGCAACTTCCAAGTGTATGCCCTTGCAACCCCCATCGCGGATGTCAAGGCCTGGGACGGCGTCTTCGAGCAGCTCAACCGAGACTTCTCGTCAGGTACCAAGCGCGCCTACGACGTGGACATCAACGGCTCGCTTGGCAAGGAACTCCAGGACCTCTTCAGGATGCGGGCAGTCAAAATCCAGGCAGCGCCAACACCGATTCAACGTCGGTTCTTGATGGACCAACCGCACAGTGCACGAGGCGTGGCCCTGGAGTACATCGACGGCCAGCGCACCATAGAGGTGGAGCAGCTGGAGGAGGTCAGGCATCCCAAGCGGCGCTTCGAGCAGGCGGTCAAGTACGCTGTGTTCATCTATGGCGACTCCTTAGATGCACCTTCTCATCTACGCGGCGGAGACGCTGATGATCCTTCTGTGCCGGTCTCGGGACTCCCAACCGACATCAGCTTTCCCAACCTTGGTGCTGAGGTGCCTCCCGAGATCAGGAGGTCAGTGGCGCGCCTACATGCCAACCTTGGACATCCTTCTTCTCAGGAACTATGTCGGCTTCTTCTACATCGTAGAGTTCCTGAATGAGTTGCGCAACATGTGAGAGATTGAAGGGTCCTCAACAACCAAAGCCAGCGTCCGCAAACACCATCTCAACGACGGCGTCACAATTCAATGAGCTCATCCAGGGTGACTTCTTCTACGTGAGGTCGTGCACCGGCGACGCGGTTCAGGTTCTCGGACTGGCGGACACTGCGACGGGCTTCCACCAGGCCGCGATTCTCAGGACGAAAGGCGCCAAGGAGACCTACGACCTCCTTGAACGTGTCTGGCTCAGACCTTACGGACTTCCAACGAGGTTGCTACTTGATCCGGACCCCTTGTTCCAGGGCGAGTTCGACGACCGCCTTGCCACCGTGAACGTGCACGTGGACTACTGTCCGGCTGAGGCTCACTGGTCCATTGGCATGGTGGAGCGACGGAACGCTGTGCTACGAACCATCCTCGAGAAGCTCATCTCCGACTACGCCGCCGCGACCATCGACGACCTCGACTACCTCATCGCTCCCGCGCTGCACTCGATGAACAGCTACATCACGACGGAAGGGACGAAGTCCGTTTCAAGCCGTGTTTGGACGTGTACCACAGCTACCAGGAGGACTGTTCACGGATGGTGGCTCGCTGGCTTCCTCACCTCTGGACCCTGGCTTGAGCATTGCAGCATCTGGCTGCAATGAGCGTCGATAAGGGCCTGCGCAGGGCGATTCTCAGGAAGACACGAAACACTCGTGCGCCGCCGCTGGAGCCAGGCCAGAGATGCTCGTTCTGGCGTTGGAGAAAACGCGGCCTCCGAAAAAGGGGCGCATGGTCAACTGCCAGGTTCTTGGCTTGGGACCCGGAGTGCCCAGGCAAGCAGGGAGGGTCCGGCGTGGAAATACGACCATCCTGGTCGCTACTGAGCAGCTGCGTGAGGCCATCCAAGACGTCGCTGCACTCAAGGACGCCGTGACCGACCTCAAGGACTCAGTGTGGAGTGACGAACGAGGCAAGCCGCCGCTCAACGACAACCTGGACGACGATGACGAGTACCGCGACTACGAACCTTCTTTGCCGCCTACGCCCGCCATCGTCATCCCAGCTGGTTCCCAGCAACCTTCCACACCGGCGGCGCAACTACCTCGACTACCACCACGTGCGCTTCAGCAAAGCACTACGAACGTCCTCAACCTGAGCCCTACCAACAGTTCTGCACCAACAACGCTTTGGCGACCCAGTGGCTGCTGAGAACCCCTGCTATGCCGAGAACACCAAGGACGCCGAGAAGGACGAGCGCTAGGTCGAGAACGCCAAATCGTCCTCTACCTCATCGCCCTGACGGACCGCTACGAGTTTCGCGACCCGCTGTCCTACAGCTACCTGCACCACAAGGAGGGGGACTTCCTGAAGACAGTGCCCAGTACGAGAGCGCAGCTTACGATAGTGCGATCTTTGAGGACCCTATCGTTGAGGCCCGTGAGTTACCTGCCGAAGGCATCACGACCATCAAAGCCGAGGAGTTCGCGCCTCTCCAACCCTTGGAAGTTCTACCCGAACCTCAAGCCCTGAAGCTCCAATATTCCTTA